TTAAAAAATAAATTCTGTTTCCACTTCATTAGTAAGAAACAAATTTTGTTTTCTCTTAAAATGGTTCACTGCAGAGATAGAAAGATTTGACTCCAGGACTTGGAAAAATTGGACATTATTATCCCCATTACATCTGTTACTGACCCTTTCCTTTATAATTACCTAAAACACTCTTTGTCAGAGGGCACAAGCTCAAGCCTCAGAAGTGCCTGGTCCCATTCCCAAGTCTGTCGCCCCAAAGGCTTGTGCATTCAGAAAATGATCATGTCCCTTTGGGTCAGTTTCCTCACCTGTGAGCTCCAACCCAGATCAGAGGTTCTCAGCAGTCAGGACAGTGTGATCTAAACCTGAGACTTACACACACACACACACACACACACACACACACACACACACTGTGCTGGGCAACAAAGTCAGGCTCCATGAGACAGGTCTTTCAAAGCCACACACACTCCCCCATCCCCCCCAAAATGAGAAATGTGAGAAATCTGCTCTTTACGTATATCTGCAGCTATAATACAATTAATAGGGTGACCCCTAAAATACCTATGACCCATAAGGAATGCATATTAAAGCTTGAGTATGAAATGCAGCCCCTCATTGCCACCTTGGGGCTTTCAACAGTCAGAGGTGATCTAGCAGCAAGAGAAAGCAAACTGCAGTAACACAGCATTACATTCTCCTTTTTCAATACTCAATGTAAACAGTTACCACAAAACACGACTTGATTAGTAACAATTATTTGAAAATGGCCTTCCTAAGAGTCCTTCCCTGTCATCAGAACTGACAGATTTGAAAGTCAGTAATTTGATATCAGAGATCTACAATCAAGGAGTCCACAATTACTCCTCTCCAAGCACAAGATCTACAAGTGCTGATCACAGAGTTTCTGCATTGTTCTGGCTCAGCCAGGATGCTGTGACTAGAGAAGGAAACACACCAGTCAGCGCTCTGCAGGCCAGACAGCAGCCTGGACACAAAATTCTCACCCATCGAAGTCCTGACTCAGAGTTCTGCTCTTGACACAACAGAGCTGTACAGGACCTCTGACTTGATTAGCAACCCACCATGTGTTCTTCTCGATGGGAATCTACAGACTGTGTCTGGGCCGCAGCCACCAGCCTGGCTTCACTGGCAACAATGCAGTTTCAGGGGAAAATCTGCAAAGGCCACTCTGGCACTGCCACTTCTCAGACATTCTCAGATACCAACAGTTCCATAGCTAAAAAAGGAGTGCCAACATTTTCATTATTAAAAAGAGAAACGTCAAAGCAGGACACCTGCTCTAAGAATGAACCTTCTTCCCAGGCAATTATCTTAAAAGGTAAATTAGGTCAAGTCCCTGGCACAGTAGCTTCTCTGAACCCCTGGCAGTGGCCCTCACAATCCCTACCACATTGGACATGGGCCTACGCCAAGCTCTTCCCTCACCTTACTCCGTGCACTCCAGCCACGTTACCCATCCTTCATTTCTTACCCAGCTGAGTCTTCGCATAGGCCATTACCCCAACCCTAGAGAATGCCCTCCCAACCCTTCCCCAAACTCTCCTTATGCTGGCTCATCCTTGCCCTTTTTATCTGCACCTAAACATCATCTTTCCAGAGTGCCCCATCTAACAGGTCGCTCCACCATCAGTCTTTGCCCTAACCAATGGGGGAGCTTGCGTCTCCCTCTCACAATCTGGAATTCTTTATATATTGCTAGATATGTTATTTGATCATCTCCCCTCTAGATACAGAGCTACCTAAGGGCCACAGCCATTTCTCTTGTAACCACTGTATCTCCAGGGCTAAAAAATATACTAAATGCTCAATTATCATTTGTTAAGATGATTCAATATCTCAATAAATTTTGCATGGAGAAAAGATGCAGCCCATAAACATTTTTATTTGTCGTAAATTGGTCAGGGTGGAAAAAAAAGTTATTCACTGGTATTGAGATAAATTAATTTCTACTCTATTTCTCCCTACTAAATACCCACCTGTGGTTGGGTCTGTGCTCTACTGCAATTTCCTGATTAAAATGAAATTTTGAAAAAAAATATTTGAAATTTGTAATAGGAACTATATTATCAGTGATGGTTGGGTCTCAGGTAATCTATAGAAATACTCCTCCTACTAGCTTCAATTTATTCAGTGCTTACTATGTTCCAGACACTGTTCAAACACTGTGTAGTTCATCTTATGTAACCTCCAAGACAGTTCCATGAGAGAGGTATTCTCATGCCTAAGGACAGAGTAGGAGCGGATGCACAGCGACTTAGCAACTAGCTCAAGGTCATGCTGCAGGAAGAGGTGGGTTGGTCGGGTGGGGCGCTGTGAGACCTGGCCTCCTCACTACTGCCCCATCTTCTTTTTTTTTTTTTTTAAGATTTTATTTATTTTCGAGAGAGAGAGAGAGAGAGAGAGAGAGAGAGAGAGAGAGAGGCGGAGACACAGGCAGAGTGAGAAGCAGGCTCCATGCAGGCAACCTGATGTGGGACTCGATCCTGGGACTCCACGATCACGCCCTGGGCAGAAGGCAGGCGCTAAAGCATTGAGCCACCCAGGGATCCCTGCCCCATCTTCTATCCCTCCTAGAGCAGTCCACTCCTATGGGAAAGAGAGACAAGGTAGAGCTTTCTCTTTTCGTTTTGGAACCAGGCCATTTTTTGTTGTTGTTTTCTGGGGGAAAAAAAAACAAAAACAAAAACAAAAACTCATCTTGTGACCCACTTGGCCTCAGTCCAGCTGATTCTATCCTAATTCCTCCAGCTAGCCTCCCCTATTCCCAGTGTCTCCTACTTCCCTGACCTGCTCCTTCATGCATCTCTATGCTTTGGAATTCATCACACAGTCCAGAACTACTTTCTGCCCCAGCCTGTGCAAGTGTGTGAGTGCTAAGTGTGCCCACGCAATCACATGTGCATATGCAAATCCCTTTCCAAACTCCAACTTGTTCTCTCTAGCTTTTAGAAGTCGGAAGATAAATAAGTCACCTAAACTATTCATTCTGAGGTATAAGAAGAGGTAACAAAAAACTCCTTGACCTTCCTAGCGATGCTAAAATACATAACATAAAAGGTTACGTGTTCACCAAGTACAGTTTGAATTATTACAGAGCCAGAAAATGACCAAAATTAGGTGGCAACTTCAAGAAGTGTTCAGGATGATAATTAAATCAAGTGGCCAACTGGCAACCCCACTCACCTGACTGTGATTTTTCCTATCTATGATCCCCTGTTTCCAAATCCAGAGTCCAGGCTGCTCATAACTATATTTCTGGAGAACACACAGGGAGGAATGGAAAATTGATGTGTGGAAAGAACACTGAACAGAGGATTCTAACTCCAGTGTTTGCAGCTGGAGGCCGCCTACACTTTGTTGCTGAATTTTTAAAAACACTTCAACACCTTAATAATATGTGCTGCCAGGTATAATAAAAGTGTACCCAAAGAGCTTGGATTCTTAAGCTGCCAAGAGCTAAATGTGAAAGGAAGCCTGAAGTAGCAGATGAAGATGTAAGAGAGAAAAAACCCTTCAACTACTGAGTTTTTGTACAGTTCCCATTAGAGAGTAGCAAAATAACGCATCCCCCAATAGGCCATGCTGACTGCTTATTTACATGTGAACCACCTGAACTACCAGGACCTCCATTTTCCTTCAAACACTCCACAACTGTGGTTTACAACAATGGCTCGCACATTAGAATCATCCCAGAACTTCAAAACACAATTCCAGGGTCTGCTCCATTAGAGAACCACGAAAGGAGAATCAACCATGATCAGCCACTCGTCGTCCAATAGGGCCTGTCCCAACATGTAACCATTTAAAGAGAGAGGGCTGGTCAGGATTCCAAGAACCAACTAGTCCTCGAGTCTCCTCTTCCTTTCCCTCCAAGACTAACCACCTGAACCTACTATCCATCCATCCATCCACCCGTCCCTGAGCACCTCTTGTGCCAGCACTGTGTACCAGAGACACGTAGCCGACCACACTGGCAGACCTGCCCTCAAGGACTTCCCATCTAGTGAAATCACACCAGGGAGATTTAAGTTAACCTATTTAAAAAAAAAAAAAAAAAAAAGGCAGCTAAAAAGGTTCCCCCAGTTTCCAGCAGTTTCATTGAACTGAAGTCCTTTTAAACCACAGCTTCTCATTTGATCCTCCGAAAAGTGTTTTGTTGCATTGTGCTGTGCTTCAGCTGGCAGGCCAGGCACTACCCAATGGATTGCTCTACTCAATGGCTGGATCCAGACAATCAAACACTTATTTCCTCAGTGCCCCTGACTGCACCCACATCCTCAGGATGACTGGAATGTTCCGAAGTCAAGTTTGTCCCATTACCATGCTGGGTCTCATATGTTCTCTTTTTCTCATGGTCTATCACAGGCTTGGGGACATATAAAAGACCTCCAAAAATCCCTCTTAAAGAGCATTTAGTCTTTTTGTAAAAACTAAACTAAGATATATAACATATTAATATTACATACTGATTCAGAACTAAACTGTGGAAGGAGTAGGGAATATTGATTACTTAGGGTGTGAGCACTCCATTGAAGCAAGCTCTGAAAGAAGGGTTTGGCCAGGCATAGTCAGCAGTGACCAAGCAGGATATTTTAAGGAGTACCATGAGCCCAGGGATGAGAGAAATAATGGAGACATCAGCCTGACTGAATCAAGGAGGACTCATCAGGTCAGCGCAGGAAAGGCTATATACAGGTAGGAACAGTTCAACACGGGGCTCTGAATCAGATGTGGTCCTATGACCCTGTAAAGACAGGTGTGGCATGGCCCTGAAAAGGAAAGGAGTAGAGCACAGATGGAAACTGTCTTAGGCACATGGATAAGACAGCTGTCATTAACTCTGATTCAGCCTATAATGAATATCTGACACACCAGTTATTTTCAACAAGAAGGTCATCAAAGTGGTTCAGAACACTTCCATTCCTACTATTAAAAAATCAAGCCAAAGTATGCCAGAGTCCAAATATTTACAAACTAGAAAATCAAACACCGACCTCCTGAGCTTTTTCGTGCTCCATCTTCACCATCTGCAGAGGACACTTGGTGTTCTGGGAACCACTGACAGACATAGACATGAACAAACAACTATCTGGCCATCCATGTGTAATTTTGTTCCGTGACATGTGACCATCAACTGTGTGTCAGGCATGGTGTTTGGCACAGTTTGAATCAAGGTCTAACAACAGCAAGCCTTTCATCCCGGTCTTTCAAAGAAGATATAATACCTGGAAAGCAAATACAATCTGTTCATAGCAGCCCACAACAGAGATTCTGGTGAGTTCATTCTTCCATTCATTCACCATTTATTTCATGTTCATGAAGTAAAACCAGACACTATTCCATACAGTGTGGAAGTGGCAGCAAAGGACACAAAGCCCCTGCCCTGATGAAGCCTACATGGGACAGAGGGGTGGGCAGGCAGGCAGCCGGCAAGCAAATAGAAAGGTTGCATTTATCAGACAGGAAGTAAGTACTATGGAAAACACACAGAGGTAAGGAAATAGGTAGTGTTATTCTGGATATTTGGGGAAGACTGCATTGAGAGAGCAGACACTTGAGTGACATTTGAGCAAAGAGCCAAATGAAGTGAGAGAGCAAGCCAACCTGCTCTGTGGGGCCAGAGTTCCACTCCAGGCACAGGCAGAGTTATGGGCAGGTGCAGGTGCAGAAGCTGAGACCAGACAGCCAGGAGGCCTGGGTACAGCACAGGTAGCAGGAGTGGCACAGAGTGAGCTGGGAGAGTGGTCAGGAACAAGATTATGGCAACAATACGACAGGCAGGCAGCAGTACAGCACCCCAGCAGTCTACAAAGTTTATGGTCATGGTAATACAGTAATAATAAGAGTCTTCATTCCTTCCTTAGAAGCTACAGATCCTTCCAAGTCTGGTCTGTTACACAAAAGATGAAGACGGATCTGAGAAATAAATTCAATGCAAAGAGCAGTTTCAATAATAAAATGAAGAAAAAAGTATTAGGTATATTTAGAGCATTCCCCAGCCTCCAAAATGTTCAACTCAAAAATTTGATGGAAATCAGAATACTTCCAATTTAATGATGGCTTTAACCATTAGGGATGCCCACAAGTAGAACATTCTCAGCTGTTTTATAGGCAGAGGATAGAATGGTCTTTTAATGTAAAACAGTATCAGAATAGGCACTGACATAGTTTCCCATTACAGTTTATACTTCAAAGTGAGCTGTGCCTTAGTAAACAGTCTTGGGAGAGATTGCAAACACTGCATGTCACTAACATATTACCTAAAGCCACAGAACTGTATGCTCAGCTGGAAATATCAAAGGGCTGTTCTCATCTTTAAGATGAGAAGTAGAGGATGCAAAGCTGCTAATTTCCTGCTTTGTGGATGCATTGTAGCTTCTGTAGACATCTTAATAATCACTTAATTATATCATAAGGAACATAAAACAAAACAAAAAAAAAATGCCAACAGGATGAGGTCTTCCATTTTCAGAAAAAAAAAAAAAAAACATCAGCAGATTTGGATTCCTGTCCACAGACTGAGGACAAAAGCCTTAAAGCAGCAATATTTTAGGACAATACTATTTCAGGGACATAATAGTGAGCAAACATCCTTTCTAAATCCAGGGGTAAGCAGGGAACTAATCCCTAGACATGGGCTGCCCTCTACATTTCTATAAAGCCACTTCAACTGCTAGCCATAAAACCATAAAGACAAATGTGACAGACACAACAGTGACAAACTACTCAGAGGCAGTAAATGAGAGGTTAATTACATGCTGATTTCTAGGATATTTCTCAACTCCGTTCTATCACCTAGGACAAGATCCTTTTGCCATTCTACTTAGATAGAAATAGAACTTGCCTGGGGTGCAACAGAAATGAGAAAAAACAAATTATGTCCCTGCTATATAAAGTTCAACAACTAATACTTTTCTTGAATAATTCCTGAATAAAGTTTCTTATAAACCAATTAATTTCCACTGAAATAAAGAGGAAAAGTTCTGAGGCTTAGAACAGCCAAAGAGGTTACACTGGTCTGTTAAATAAACAAAACTTAACGGGGTGAAATAGATCCTGCTACCACTCCAACTGGAAATACCAAAGTGTTTCTTATAAAAGGTGGCTTATGAATGAGGGAAATAGCTTAATAGACGTACTTAGTCTCATTTTTAAAAATCTTATTTTCCCTTGGTTTTAGAAGCAACGTGCAGATTATAGAAAATTTGGAAAATACAGAAAAGTATAAAGAAAATGAAATATCATCCATGAACACATCCCTAAACATATCCTTATTTTGCTATATTTTCCTTTCAATTAATACAAACACACACACTCTTCATTCTTCAGCAAAATCAGGATCATGAGACAACCTATTCCATTGGTAAACATTTCATCTGTGATAAAATACTTTTTAAATATGGTTGCATAATATTCCATTACACAGATGTGTGGTAACTGACTTAACCACCCCCCCCTTCCTCTTCTATTCACAATGCAAGATAAATTAATGAATTTTAAGGTAACAGATTTGGTAAAAGATCTATATTATGGTTTCAGAATCTACATCATACCTAACCTTTAAAAAACTACTACTAGTTATGTTTTAGTGTAGTATCAAAGAAGAATACCCACAATTATCTGAAAAGGTTATTTCAGGACTCCTACCTTTTACAATTACACATCTGTGCAAGACTAAATTTTCTGCACACTTCTACCCAACTCATTTACAGACCGCAGGGCAGGCAGACCAGAGAACCCACTACTTTTTATTAAAGCTATTATGAAACAGACTGCAAATAATGTGAAACAGTGCCACTCTTCTCACTAAATTTTTTGGGGGGGTTGGAAAATACTTATTTTTCATCAAAAAAAAAAATAATTGCTAGAGACTGACACAAATGTAAAACAATGTCGTTCCTGTCACTACTTTTTTTGTTCCAGAAAAGTTATTTTCATTACAAATGGTCTTTTTGTTAAATGTTAACGAGTATATTGTCATTTTTAAGTACGTTTTTTAAATTTTTTTAGTTTTAAGGTCTAATATAGTAAATATCAATACACATTACAATAGAAAAAGTTCTTTGGAGGTCCTCAAACACCTTTTAACAGCACAAAAAGGTCCTGACATCAAGAAGTTTAAGAATCCAGGGGATCCCTGGGTGGCTCAGCGGTTTAGCACCTGCCTTTGGCCCACGGCGTGATCTTGGGAGTCCTGAGATCGAGTCCCGTGTTGGGCTCCCTGCATGGAGCCTGCTTCTCCCTCTGCCTGTGTCTCTGCCCCTGTGTGTGTGTGTGTGTGTGTGTGTGTGTGTGTCTTTCATGAATAAATAAACTAAAATCTTAAAAAAAAAAAAAAAAAAGAATCCAGGGCTGTAGAATGAAGGATCTCTTTAACAAGTAAGCTCATGTATTATTTTGTTTGCTTGTGACTGATTTCTGCTTAAAATGAGATTGCTCCATGACCTTTGAGAGATTTGTCGTGTCTGCACTGAGTGGAATTCTTCTTCTCCTGGCCCACATTGAGTCTCTAAATAACTAGGCTCCCAAATACTTAATCCATTTCAGCATTGTATTGCCAAATATTTTCTTAAAGCAGATAGTGCAAAGAAAACAGAACTCCAGAAAGAGATATAGATCTCTAACGACAATTACTTCTCCACTTGCTGGTTAAACACAATAAAACAAAAAATTATCAAAATACATCTGAGGTAAGAGCAGAGTGATTCAGATGATGATGCCTAAGACACAGTCATCAACTGTTTTTACTTCCTCTTACAGAATTACAAAAGCAATTCTGTGAATTGTAGAGACCAAATTATACACACATACACCCTTCTAACCAATAGTGCCCAGAACTCCATGGAAATAAGAAAATATCCACTTAGTTTCCATTACAATGTTACTTTCTAATCAACAACAATCCAAAGTCCCAAAACTGTTCTAGCATTACAGATATTCCTAGTATCTCAAGAACTGCAATGCTACTCTGCCATTGTTCTGGTCTTCCATAACATTTGGTTTTTATAAAGAAAATGATCCCACTTCAAAAAATCAGGTTGAATATAAAAAAGCCTTTCATTAGAATATATATTTATCCAGTGTGTAGCAAATGCCCAGCACACATCAACACCAAGAATAAAGCAGTGAACAAAACAAAGCCCCTGGTCTCATGAGGTTAATATGCTAACTAATGAAGCAGCAGCAAAGTGCATTGGGTTTTAAGAGCAGCAGCCTGGGAAACCCTGAGAACAGGCCACCAGGATGATCTTCGGGATGAAATACAGGTCCAGCAACCAGCCCTCTGTGGGCATGCGGCAGTACAGATCTTGAACATAAGTTTAAGATTATTCAGAAAAAGGAAAGAGCTCGAGAGCAGGGGTGTATATGTATTGAAGTCAAAACTCACCTGGGGAGACAGTGAAGCCAGACACCAAAATGGAAAACACTGAGAGGAGAAACGAATTTGGTGGATCAGAGAACATAAGAAGAGTTTTAAGATATGCTGCATTTCTGATGCTCATAAAGCATGTTAGTGGACATATAAAGGAGGCACTGAGCATAAGTGCTCAAGCTGGGGAGTCAGATATAGGCTAGATACACAGACTTGGGAACCAAAAACCCACAGGGTGGGTAAAGTGGAAGAGCCAATGAGGGAGATTGAAGGGGAGTATTCAGGAAAAGAAGGGAATCCAGGAGAGAGCAAGGTCTCAGAAGCTCAGAGACAGGTTGCACAGAGGCACACCTTCTCAGCAGTAGTAATCTCTGTCAAGCAAAAACTGTGAAGTGGTCAATCAAGAACACAAAGAAACACCCCCTGGACTTCACAACTGGGAGAACAGCTTTTCTGCGAGGCTGGCTCTGCATGCCTGGGCCCCAGACTTGCCTTAATGCTTTGCTGTCACCATCTTGAAATTCTTAATAATTTTTGAACAAGGAGCCTCACATTTTCATGCTTAAAATGAGCACTGAACTCTGAACACTATACAGCTAATTTTGCCTTTGAGATCCATTTCAGTGAAGTAGTAGGGATTATAAAAAGAATATAGTAGTTTGTTGGAGTGAACAGAAGAGAGCCACTTGAGACATGTGGTGTGTGGTGGACACACTAGGGTGGCCCACACCAACCTCTCCTGGTATAATCCCTTCCCTCTGGGTGGGGGCAGGACCTGTGACTCACCTTTAACCCACACAATACAGCGAAGGCGATGGGATATCACTCCCATGATTATGTCTTGCTGGAGTC